CCTGCCTGCCTGCCTGCCTGCCTGCCTGCCTGCCTGCCTGCCTGCCTCCCTCCCTCCCTCCTTCCTTCCTTCCTTCCTTCCTTTTCTTCTTTTTCCTTCGCTCTTCATTCTTTCTTCTTCCTTCCCATCTTCCCATCTTTTTCTTTGTCTTTCCTCTTTGTCTTTCCTCTTTCCCCTTCTTTCCTGTCCCTTCTTGCATGCTCAAATGCAAAACGGGAAACATTTCTCCTTTTGCTTTGTTTTTAGTTTGTTTTGCCAGCCCTCTGAAAAGCAAAAATGGGGTGCAGGGGGGCCTGCGTGCAGAGGCACCTTGGGCTGCCCCTTTGCAGTTTCCAGGCTGGGCCAGTGGGCCAGATCTAAGCACTCCACCCATGGGCCAGATCTCCCCTGTGGGCCTTGAGTCTGACACCCCTGGCCTAGGGGGTAATTTTTGGAGAACTGGAACAACAGATTTTTGAACCCAGCATTAACCTTTAGGTGTCCCAATGGTGCTTTTCCAAAAGGCAAGTGGACTTTTTTGTTTTTGTTTCTTCCTTGAGAACCTTTCCCTTCTCATCCAAGAAGCTTCTTCAGTTCTGAAGAACCTTTGGGGGCAACCATGACTTGAATAGTTGACAACCTCCTTAGACATTTAATGTTTAGGTGGTTTGGGCGCAACCATGCTCCAAGATTTGAACCTTTGGGGCAATCACAGTCTGACTGAAAATCTCCTTAGATATTTAACCTTTAGGTGGGTTTCTGTTTTGGTGGACAGGTTGGCCATATCCAGATCGGTCTAGAACAGGTGCAGATACAGCCTGTAAATAGCTCTGAATCCTCATTTCATGGGAAAGAGCACTACGTCAGGAGGAAGAGGTCCAGCCAGGGCCATTCTTTGAAGTCAACGATCCCCGTGGAGCACTGCAGTGTGTTACCAGGTGGGTGAGTAGAGATCCATGTGGTTACGGCACTTACTGTCAGGCAGGAAGAATCGGGGGCACACATTCAGTTCCAGTTAAGATGATGTGTTCTGACCAAGGCTTCCCGAGACCGTAATTAAACACATGCTTAGTTAAAACAACTCTTGTTTTATTTCAATGCTGGGAATTATGTTCATTCCCAGCCTGTAATGAGTCCCAAACAGTCCCTCGAGATAAGCACCCACCTTTCTCTCCTTTGAATTGCTGCCAACAACTAAAGTGCCAAATGAACTATAAAAAAGCCAAACAAAGTACGAAGTCCACACAGAGCTTCAGGGTTTAATCCGAACAGAGCAAACGACTTTGCTTCCTGCAAAGGTTTCTCTACCTTTGCATGTCCTTTATACCTTATGGGAGGGGAAATCACCTCCCAGCCTTGCTCCCGAGTCGCCCCTTTTGTCTCAACTGTTCTTGCCTTCTAGCAGCTGTGCGCACACACACACTGGGAACAGGCTCCCCTTGTTCCTCTGCCTCGCTGCTGCCAGCCTCCGGAGTCAGCACACCACTCCCAGGTGGTCCTGGCCCCATCTCTGCAGAGGATGCAGGACCATCATCCGAGTCCTCCCCAGACTCCCGGACTGGTCCCTGTTCTTCCCCACTGTCCAATTCCGCTGCTGTCTGCACAGGCTGCCGGCAAACCACAACATGATGTATTGCTCATGACTACACACAAGAATGCAGTCAACGAACTGTCAGCACTGCATTGGCTCTAGAAAACAGTCAGTGGAATTCAAGAGGGGTTGGACTTAGATTGTTTATGGGAACATAACGATTCTAGGCTGATTCCTCTTGACTCCCACCCCAGCTCTGCAAGCTCTTCTCCTACATTTAATATCTTGGGTACTGTGGGATGGGAGATGGAACAAGAGCATATACCCTGGTACAACAGATCTGACTACTATTCATATATTACCCTGTCCGTTCACCTGCAAACAGTGTCCGGGCAATATACTCCATGCATACACCAGGCCTAAGCAGATTGGTCTGTGTTTATGGTTCAATGTAACGTTCAAACTTATGCAAAAATATTTTCAGCAGAAAGGGTCAATGGCTTAAACCTCCCTTTATCCTGCTGTGGAGAATTTGTGGTATACATTACATCAGCCTGTGGAATGCCATAAATCTCAGTTGTGTGTTTTGTGTACAGGGTGGATCACATATTATTTTTTAGACAATAGAAGAGATCAAACAGGCCCAGTGTTGCAAGTGGATTATAACACTATGGCCATTATAATTATAATGCTACATTCTTGCAACATATTAAACCACAAACGTTTATGTCTAAACTGCAATGGCTAAGCTGAAAATCAACAAACTACATTATGGAAACCAGAACGTTGTGTTAAGCTATATTTTGGGTAGGCTTATTTTGCCCTAACATTTTATGTAAGGCAGAATCAGAATATATTTATTATGACTTTATATATACAGAAATGAAGCATAATAAATAATAGTGGTCAGGCAAAATCCCCATTCCCTCCCCACTCCACTAACCTGCTTTCCAGCTCCGTTCTCCTGTGCAGGGCAACCAAAAAAGACCCAACCGATCCGCTGGGACTCGGGAGGCAGAGAATAGATGGGGTTGGTGGCTTCAGTCAGAGGTGGGATTTTCTGGCTCTCCGAACTACTCAAAATTTCCGCTACTGGTTCTCCAGAACTGATCAGAACCTGCTGAATCCCACCTATGTCAAAGGGCTACCTGTATTGTGGGAATGCAGCTTTTCTAGAAAATAAGATGAAGCCTTTTATTTATTTATTTTAGTGCTCAGAGAAGTTTGTAATCTGATTGGCATCTTCAGAAACACGCTTATTTTGCTCTCATCAACTACACAAATACTTGGGAGAAAAACATCTCAACCCTTTATTGAGAAATGCTTATTTAAGCTATAAGAATGTAATCAAACATGTAATGGTTTTTTCCCCGATGGCTGCAAACATGCTGTTTTCCTGGGGAATCTAGTGTTCCTTTCTTAATCTCTTTCCCCAAAATCTCAGCCGGTGATGTAAACTCTCATTACAGAGGATGGATTTGGTATAAAACCCAGCTGAAAACAAGGCAGAACTGTCCTCTGAAACAAGGCCATGAGCCCTCCGTATATTGTTCTGAGATAGGTCAGCTGCAAAAGTTTGGGTTTGCTAAACCACATTCTTCTTCTAAAGTCTTAAATTGTGTGAGAGACAGGAACGTGTTTCAAAGGAACACACTGGTTTTATTTTTAACATCTAAAAGGCAAGCAAAAAAGGCAGGCATGAAAAAAAAAACATTTCTAAGGCAAAAGAAATCTCAACTGTCAGTGAAGATTTAAATGTATTCATTCATTCATTCAATCAATGTAGGTGTCACCTGACTCCAAATTAAGATAGTGAGGCTCACAATATAAAGCACAGTATAAAGATTCTATCAGAATGAAAAACACGAAACGAGAGAACAAAGCTGTGAATCTGGCCAGCAATAACAACACAAATATCACACCCATAAGCAGATTTAAGAGAAAGTGGTTGTTTGGAACAATCTGTAGGCTGGCTATAGTCAAAATAAATTTCTTTAGATTCATTTTGGGTTAGAAGTTGTAATTAAGCTCACACATTAAGCTATTCTCAGTTTTGTTCATCATAATTGGCTGAATAAACCCAATTGCCTGGGTGCACCTATAATGTTAAGGCAGGATTACCCAACTGGATATTCTCCAGTTTTATGGATTTTGCAGCTTGTAGAATTCTTTGCAATAAAAGCATCTATGGAGTTCTAGGTTGGAGAAAATTGTATTAGGGCATAAGTCATGCATTTCCTGAAATGTTGAGCTGTGAATCATAAAGGTATGGATCAAACTATATCTGATAAGAGGGAGAATTCATATTATCCTACCATTATCCTATCAGGACTTATCTATGAAATCCCTCCATAAAGTAAACTTCAGTATCCATGCTAAAATAAATGAAAATACACATCTTCCTGATTGAGGACCAAGCTTTTTATACTGAGCCATAGTGGCACAGTGGTTAGAATGCAGTATTGCAGGCTAACTCACTGCTCACTGCCAGGAGTTCGACTCTAACCAGCTCATAGTTGACTCAGCCTTCCATCCTTCTGCGGCTGGTAAAATGAGGACCTAGATTGTTGAGGGCAAGAGGCTGACTTTATAAAACCGCTTATAGAGGGCTGTAAAGCACGATGAAGTGGTATATAAGTGCTATCTCCATATGGAGCCTCTGATTTAATTTTATTACTAATAATTGCTTTATTTTTAATGGGTGTTCTGATTTTAGCGTACTTTGTAAATTAACTCATGAGAGCAATGCCATGTAAAATTTCTGAATAAAAAGCAGTCAGAAAAGTTGTAACACATTATTGGTCTTCCTTGGTGGTCTAATCAAATCTTAGAATCCCTACGCCCAAGTAGGATATGGTGGGGAATCTTGTTTGCTAGTAAAATACAATAGTAGCATAACCTGGGATGGAGTTCTAGAATACCTACTTTTGTTTTTGAGACTACGTAGACAATACTCATTAGTGATAGCACTTCCCAGTAAAAGCATTCTTGCCTTACTCATAGAAGCACTTGTAGATAGGTGAACACAGAAAAATAAAGACAATTTGCCATTAAGCAAGCAAATTCTTATTGCTTCCACGATTTAGAAAAAAACTCTGAAGATGCTTTCCTAGTTTGGAAAAAGCTCTGAATATTTTTTTTTTTCAAAAGCCAATTATTTTATTTCTACCACAGTGCTGTTCATTTGATAATGATGTTTAGGAGATTTTGTGGTATACTCAAGGCCCAGGTATCAATTGTGGACCGTTGTTTCCCAGTGCATAAATCCTAAATATGCGTTGATTCAGGTTTAAATAATTTTCTCCTGCATCTTTAACCATCATCCTTCTACCATGTTATATTTTTGCAGCTGTAGGTTTAACTTGGCTTGGAACATCTATTGTTATGGCCAAAAACTACGCATGCTAAAAATAGCAAGCAATGTAATGAAAACTCTCTTATCCCTTATTAGGAAGTACATGTTGTAATACGAACAAGTGCATTTTTGGATGACAGCTTATGTTAGATGTATTGTGAACTCAAAACGTTACGGGCTGTAAAACTGGCAGCCATCTTGAATGTGTACCTCTGTTCCTTGATCTCACGTTTTCCTAATGTGATGTTCTCTGGATGGAAACTCTAGGCTGGAAACTCTAAGAGTTAAAGTTTCCAAACCTACTGAGTGCACCAGTCAACAAAAGAATTGCTTTTCCCGTGCCAAACTCATTTTAAATCTAATTTAAATAGCAATAGCACTTAGATATATATGCCACTTTACAGCCCTCTCTAAGCGGTTTACAGAGTCAGCCTATTGCCCCCAACAATCTGGGTCCTCATTTTGCCCACCTCGGAAAGATGGAAGGCTGAGTCAACCTTGAGCCGATCAGGATCAAACTCCTGGCAGTGGGCAGAGTCAGCTTGCAATACTGTATTCTAACCACTGTGCCAAAGCTCTTGGGAGAGGGAGGGAGGGAAGTGGGGAGGAGAGAGAGAGAGAGAGAGAGAGAGAGTATTCTTAGAGAGAATATAGACAGATAGACAGAAGATAGATAGAGATAGATAGATGTATGCTAGATAGATTTTTATTTTTTATTTATTTATTTTATTTTACTTGTCAATCGCTTACAAGATAATAGGTATAAGTATAAACATGAGTAAGAATACAGGACATAGGTACAAATAAATGGGGACAATAGGACAGGGACGGGAGGCATGATGGTGCACTTATGCACTCCCCTTACAGACCTCTTAGGAATGGGGTGAGGTCAATAGTGGATAGTTTCACACATGGTTGGAAAAAATGATAAAACAACACATAGACTTTAAGCCAGAGATTTTTTATTGGGAATTATACCGGAAATATACAATAAAGAATTGAAGTATTTGATTGTAAATGTTTTAACAGCAGCTAGATTTGTGTTTGCTAAG